ATGCCCAGCTAATTTTTTGTATTTTTAGTAGAGACGGGGTTTCACCATGTTGACCAGGATGGTCTCGATCTCTTGAGCTCGTGATCCACCCGCCTTGGCCTCCCAAAGTGCTGGGATTACAGGCGTGAGCCACCGCGCCCGGCCTGTACTTTTAATATATTAGGACCAATTTAAAATCGGTATTTATGGGTAGGTATGGGATGGGCCTGTTAGGGGTAGGAGTTGATCTGGAACTGAAGTGTGGCAATATAGTGAAGAGTTCTTGTGAGAATATTCTAGTGGTTGTGATACTATTTTCTATACTCTCTTCTTTACCAGTGTAATGTTGGATTCAGGAAATTTCACTTTAAAAAAAATTAGTTATTTGTATATACTTTCTTGAAATACTTCAAATACTTGGACTGAAAATAGTATAACATCAAAAATATGCTTTTTAAAACGTCACTTAGAGGATAGGTTGTACAGAAAGCTTATATAGCAGAAAATAGTGGATTGTTACAGTCTAATATTTTGTTATCTTCTAGACTTAAACTGTCTTTAGCCACTAATATCGGGATAAATTTAAGTTAAAATTAGTTATAATTTAATAAGCTTTAAAATTTAGTTGCTCATTTTCACTACCCACATTTTAGGTGCTCAATAGCTACATGTGGCTAGTGTCTGCTGCATTGGACAGTGCAAATAAAAGCCTTTCCATTATAGAAGTAGGTTGTGATAGACAATCTGGTTCTAGACATTTAGCAAGTACAGTCAGCCCTTGAACAATATGGGTCCACTTACACACAAGTTTTTTGAAATAAATATATTGGAAAATTGTTTTGAGATTTGCAAGTTTGAAAAACAGCAAACTTGCATAGCCTAGAAATATTGAAAAATTCAGGAAAAGTTATGCCATGAATGCATATGTGTAGCTATTAGTTTATATTTACTACCATAAAATATACTGAAATCTATTATAAAAAGTTAAAATATCAAAACTTACACAAACACAGATCTTACATGGAGCCATTTGCAATTGAGAGAAATGTAAACAAGCAAAGATATAGCATTAAATCATAGTTGGGTAAAATTATGTAGTGGATACTGTACTACTGTAATAATTTTGTAGCCACCTCCTGTTGCTATTGTAGTGAGCTCAAATGTTGCAAATATCTGCTTAAAATAATCACTCTGCTTTTGTCTGTCAGGTAAATTGCATACTGCAGTAAACAGATTTCATCAAATTTAATGTAATACCATAAACCTTAATTAACATCATGGGTTCCATGTGAAGTGCTACTGGTGATGCTGCAGGTGCTCCCAAGAAGAAGAGAAAAGTCAAGACATTACAAGAAAAAGTTGATTTGTTTGATATGTACTGTAGATAGAGGTCTGCAGCCGAGGTTGCCCCGCAACCCCATTTCAGACAGAAGATTCATCTTGTAATTCAATAATGTGAATTTACAGTATTGATAAATACAGTGCAGTACTGTAAATGTATTTTCTCTTTCTTGCGACTTTCTTATTTTGTTTTCTCCAGCTTTATTGTAAGAATATAGTACATAATATATTAACATACAAAACATCTGTCAGCTGTTTATGTTATTGGTAAGGCTTTCAGTCAGTAGTAGGCTATTAGTAATTAAGTTTTTGGAGAATCAAAGTTACATGTGGGTTTTCTACTGCACAGGGGGTTGGTGCCCCTAACCCGAGCATTGTTCAAGGGCCAAGTGTACTTCTAGATTTTGCAGGGTACGATTTTACTGCTAAATGCCTTTTAGTTAACATGTAGGAGACTTAGATAAAAGGTCATAATGCAAGGAATGTCTTTTGATTAATATTTTATCTTTCTAATGGGTTCCAGTTTTGTGGTTCCTACAGATTTTGCTTAGATGACATTCCGATTAAGGTAAAAATGAGTATAGCTCATTTGTATTGAATAGCAAAAATGTTAGTTTTATAACCCAGTCTTATTATGAGTGAAACATCTCAGCACATAGAAAATATTAGAGTTGAAAAACTGAAAGACTTTTCAGAAACTTCTTACTTTTAGAGATAACAGGGTGAGATTATTTTAGGATGGGCGCAGTGGCTCACGCTTGTAATCCCAGCACTTTGCGAGGCCAAGGAGGGTGGATTGCCTGAGGTCAGGAGTTCGATACCAGCCTGGCCAATATGGTGAAACCCCATCTCTGCTAAAACTACAAAAATTAGCTGGGAGTGGTGGCGCATGCCTGTAATCCCAGCTAATTGGGAGGCTGAGGTTGCAGTGAGCTGACCTCGTGCCACTGCACTCCAGCCTGGGCGACAGAGCAAGACTCTTGTCTCAAAAAAAAGAACAAGTTGAGATTTTTTAATATTGAGATTTAGAGCTCATTTTTACAGGTGAGGATGTGGATATACACAAAGCGGTAAGCAACTTCCTAAGGGTTACACAATCAAGTTGTGGTAGAATCTGACCTAAAATCCAAAATCATTACCTAAAACTGTGGATTAATAAGGAGTTATACTAGTAATACAAATTTAATGTTAGATATTTAATAAAGATTTAAAATGAATCAAGACAGACTTTATTTCTGACAAGTTATTTTTTTTTCTATTTGGATTTCCTAGAGTAGTTCAACTAAGTGCAGAGGAATGGGCCTGTGACTATGGCCTTTAGTTCAGACCTGGTATGGGTTCACCCTGATGACAGGTGACTAAATCAGAATTGAGGTCACTGCTGACACCAGCTTTCTAGATACCGTTGAGGAAAAATGGCTACTAAGTTTACTTTCTCCCCTTATCAGCGAGAGGATGTGGCCTCCTGATGCTGACTTAGTTCAAAACCGAGGAGGTCTGATTTTTGTCAAACATTCCTTCAAAGCAGATTTGGCAGTTTCTTAGAAAGGCCAGGCAGTAAATGTTTTAAGCTCTGAAGGCCAAGTGGTCTCTTGTTACAACTCTTCAACTCTGCCCTTTAGTGGAAGGGGCCTTAGGCTGTGTGTAATCAAATAGTGTGGCTGTATACCAATAAGGCTGTACAAAAACCACCAAGTAGCCAGTGGGCCGTAGTTTGCCCATCCTGCCTTAAAGCAATACTGGTAGGGTAGGCATTTCCAGAATAGTGAAGTTAGCCTCAGTTATAAGGGTGTGGTAAGGATTGGACTATATTGTCAACTTTAGTAAGATTCCATCAATTTTTTTTTTTTGAGACAGAGTCTCCTTCTGTCGCCGAGGCTGGAGTGCAGTGGTGCAATCTCTACTCACTGCAACCTCCACCTCCCTGGTTCAAGCAATTCCCCTGCCTCGGCCTCCCAAGTACCTGGGATTACAGGTGTGTGCCACCACACCTGGCTAATTTTTTTGTATTTTTAGTAGAGATGGGGTTTCACTTTGTTGGCCAGGCTGGTCTCGAATTCCTGACCTCAGGCAGTCCGCCCACCTTGGCCTCCCAAAGTGCTGGGATTACAGGCGTGAGCCACTGCACCCGGCCAGATCCCATCTATTTTAAGAGTCACTGGTGGATGTATGTTATGGCAGCTTTACACACCATTAAGTAACCAGGGGTTTAAGGATCCCATCCTGCTCTGTGTAGTTACTTAGCTTCTGTATCAGGAATTGACAGCTCTTCTAACCAATCTGTAACTCATCTCAACTCACCCTTGCAACCTTGATACTACTTGGTAATAAGTAGTTTGCATGGACGACCAATGGCATCGTGGGAAAGTAACTGAACATTTATTGCTTTTTACATATGCTGAAATACAGAGATACTGAATAATGACCAAGATGACACTGTGTTTTAGAAGAATTCATCTGATTAGAGGTGGAGCTGGGAGGGCAGCAGAGGAGTTAGGAAATAGAATTGAAAAGTATCCTGAGCTTATTGATTGTGGGACTAAGAAAAGAGGCATTTAGGATGACTCCTTATTTTCTAACTTGGGTGCATTTGTCAATACTAGCCATGAAGGAAGGAGTGCAGGTTTTTGTGGGGCATATGCGAAGTTCAGTTTGGATATGAGTTTTGAGGTGTGGTGAGAGGGAAGTTGTGGGACATCCCCAGTGCTCAGAAGTAAGCACTAGGAAGAAAGTTCTGTGAGGCTATTCAATCTGTTGACGGTGAATTGTGAACTGTTGAAGCTCTGCTATTTGCCTCACTTGTTGTGGCCTCTTTAGTTCTTTTAATGTCATACTCTGCTGTTAGGAATATAAA